TTTTTTACACTGGCCGTGTAGGGATGATTAACTCTTAAAAAAATTGGTTAAGTTAATTGAATCTTTTTTATAAGATGATTTGATTTGGTTTATTTCTATTCATCTTTTTTTTTAAATTTAAAATTAGGGGTGTTTGTGATTCGGTTCGGTTTGGTTTTTAACTAAAAAGTCACCTGAACTGAATAACATAAATATGTGGGATTTGGTTCGGTTCAATTTTTGTTTTTCATTTTTTTTTGTATACAATCATAATTACATAACACTATACAAGGTCATATAATACTACATTGTATCAACTATGTGCTACTCTCCAATACCCACACAGTAGAAAGAAAGAGTTTGTAACAAAAGAAAAAGAAAAGACTAAAAAAAAAGGTGGAAGTGCGACACAGTCACACGAATGTGTAGAGGCAGAAAACGACAGAGCCGTAGAGGAGGGCACTTAGGTGAGAGAGAAGTGAACAGAGAGGTAGCGGCGAGTGAAGGTGTAAAGGTTAGAGGGAGAGATCGGCGGAGGAGAGCACTTAGGTGAGAAGGAGAGAACGGCGGACGAGTAGAGGAGGGCACTTAAATTAGAGGGAGAGAGGCAATTAGAATGAGAGTGAGAGACCTAAAGTTTAACCTACACTCACGCACAAAGACACAATCAAGGACAACACTACAGTTCGGTCAATTTTGGTTCAGTTCTAACTGACTGAACCGAAAATCAAACCGAATCGGTCGATTCCCTGAAAAACACATCCAAAAAATTCAAACTTCATCAAATTTTTTTTCGATTTTTAGTTTTTTTGGATTGGTTCATGATTTTCTTTTCCGTCTAATTTGGTTTTGAACACCCGTAATTTGAACCATGCATGACCCAATTTTTGACAATAAAGTGTTTTTATTGTACTCTTGTATGTTTTTAGTGAGAGTGGCAAAATAGATCAATTGCCTTTGCATCACTATTGACTTACCAAATACAAAACAAAAGGATTTGTTTTGTTGTGGATTGACATATTAATCCACCAAAAAAAAAAAAAAAAACGAGTTAATCTACTAAAAATTTTTAAAAAAAAATTAACAAAATCATAACATGTATTAACAACTTGATCCAATTGTCCTCCAACATATTTTTAAATGAAATTACATGGGTGAGTCAAAATGGGTTAATGAGTTGAAAACCTTAATTTATCCTGTATTAAAAAAACCAACAATAAAGGGTTGTTTCAATGGATTTAACACATTTTACTACCCTAATTTTTATTCTATTTGTAAGTAGGGTTGTTCATGATGTATTACCTTTTTTTTTTGAACAAGTTCTTTTTTTATAACATCTTTTATGATACCATTTCTTAATTTAATTAAAATGCACTAATAATGTTTAAAAAAATAGTGTCATCTTATCATAGATTATTGAATATAGTAAGATTGTTCAATTTTATAATAATTAATGTTAATTAATGATTTCAAATATAATTAATTTAAATTTATATCAATTAAGATAAATTTGGATTAAATCAAGAGTTTAAGTTAAAGGAAAATAAGACAAGTATTTCAAATTATACCACAAGATTAAAGCAAATGTTACACTTATCAAATACCCCAAACTTAAAACCTTGTCTATCCTCAAGAAAAGTGAAACTAACTAAGCTAAACACAACAACCTAACTTCCTAAACTAAACATGATTTGAGATCCAACAAAACAACAACAATCATTGACATATGTCTTCCAACATTTGAAAACTTGACAAAAGATTTTACTCTAAATCAACCAATTACTATGGTGCCCACAAGGAATGAGAGCATAGGTATATTGTTGCATAACTCCAAAAGGGATTAACAAGCATGGCAGTGACACAATCAAAATCAATGAGCACGCATTTTCTCACCAAAGTTAGTGTTTCTCTCTTTCACCTAAGTGTATCAAGGTAAGTGTACCTCTTAACTTTACACATTGGAATCACACAACTCAACTTTGTTCTTCATCTCAAATAAATTTATACAATCACATAATCATGCAGAGATCACAACATCTTTTATGGGTTGTAATGTGGTTGGGCTAAAGAAGGAAATTGATTTTTTTAGATAAACAAGAACACCACAAGAATATAAGAGCAAGTTCTAATGATTATCATTTATCAATTCAGTTTCCTTTCTATATTTCCAAAACTTTCAAGAGTAGACCTTAACCCAAAACATCACTACTTTACATAATAATAATATATTCGCTATATATTTTTTCAACTTTTTTTTCTTTTCACTTTTGTATTTTCAATTTTTCTTTTAATTTTTTTAGAGCAACTTTGATAGCTACAACAAAAGTGGTGAACGACAACCACAACATGAGATACTTAACAACATATTTAATGATATTGATCACCCCAAAATATCCCAAACTCAAAATTTTTCTCTCCTTATCATCAACTTGGTTCCTCTTATATCCTAAAGGTGTAGGAAGCATTTTGTTTTTCTTTAGGGTTCCAAGGTTTGAAACAATTCACTATTTGGCTCAAAAAGGGTACAAGTGACTCATTTTGTTAGCTTAGTTTTTTGGTTAAGTGGCTCAATTACATAAGAATAAACATGCCTTGATCACTTCTCAACAAACATATACTATGAAAACTCACAAAAGACTCGAGCAAAATCAACTGTCTGAAATCTGATGGTAACACTCAACAACAAAGCATTGAAGCACAAAACTCATATGTTAATGAATGCGTTCAAAAACTTTCAGAGATATCATGCCACACTCATTAGCCACATGAACAAATTCCACAAACATCTTACTAATTACTGCAAGAGTGCAATCAAATGCAACTAAATGAACAAGAATCACAATTTTCATGAAAGGTGGAGTATGGCATGAGCCAATGATTAACAAAGCTTGAATAAATCTCAAACAACAACACAATACCACAACTAAATAGACAAAAAACACTAAACCACAAAAAAACAAAGTCATAAATACAAAATATAAACAGAAACAAGTCTCCCAAACTATTGGTCAATCCTCCTCATTATGTCCTTCCTGTTCATCACCAATGTCTTCATCCTTATTCTCAACAATAATAGCTTCACCTCCTCCATCTCAATGGTCTTGGTCCCTAAGATGAAGTGGGAAATCCATATGAACAACAAAATATGTAGTTGAGGTAGGTGGAAAGCTAGTGCCAAGGTGGGTAGGACTTACTACCCTAAAATCCAAAATCACATAGACATTAACAAGGAAGAGGAACAAAACAAATAAGAAGAAAATTACTTAAAGCTCAAAATTACAACTCAAATGCGATGCCCAAAACCAACATTTTTAGGAAAACAAAGAACATCACACCAATTAGAAAGAAAACACATAAGCATAAGCATGGAGCATGAGCAATGAATGAAGTGCAACAAAAAGAGGGGAACAATATGGACAAAACAATGGAACTTACCAAAGATTTAATGGAGATGGTGATTAAAACAACAAATACACACCAAAAGGAACAAAGAAATAAAATTACGATTAGGAGGAAAGTAAGGGAAAATGAAAGGTTAGGGAGAGAGAAAGAGGGAAAATGAGTTTTAATTTCAAATCTCAAAAATTCACACTAAGTGTGGATTTATTGACACAGCGTCAAAAATCCCTACACCCAAAAATTCTCTGTCATAGCCACACTAAGCATGTAATTCTACGCTCAATGTGGAACCTCCAAAGGCCAATTTGAATTTGGGGCTAAACATGGAATTTTGCGCTAAGCGTGGAACTTTCAAAGACCTCATTTTTTTTTAAAACAAGATTTTGTGCTAAGTGTGAGATTCTATGTTTAATGTCATTTTCACAACAAGTTGTTTT